GTTGTAGTTATAACCTTAGCATGTACTGAAGTTCAGGTGCAGATCTACAAAGTTTGGATTTATCCAGCTGTGCCTGGCTTGGGTCTCGCTGCTGTGCTCAGCTCCTTCCTGCTGCTGCCCTTGCGGGTGAACCTGTTGTGTCCCTCTGGCAAGATTTTCTGCTCCTGGACTAGCTGGGTGGTTCTATCCTCTACACTCTCTGCAGGGACTGCAGCTGCAGGGTTATACCCCAGGCCTGTATGCCAGGCCTGATCTGAGCCTGGGGGGGATAAGGTGGAGTAGAGGGGAGAGGCAGCTCTCCCACACACTCACTGGGTCTGGGTTAGGACTGTTTCTGGGGGTTCCCGGAACGCGGCAGAAATTCCTACTTGGCAGGTGGGTTGGGGGAGGTGCTGCGGAGTGGTGGTGGGCATCCCAAGAGGGTGGAAGAGGGTCTCACCCATGCTGCACCTGGGCTGGGATCAGTAGTAGGTCCTGCCGGCGCAGGGTAGCAGGAAGCTCTCCCACACACTCACTGGGCCTGGGCTAGGACTGGGTCTGGGGGTTCCCGGAATGTGGCAGAAATTCCTACTGGGCAGGTGGGATGGGGGAGGTGCTGCAGAGTGGTGGGGGGCGTCCCAAAGGGGTGGAAGAGGGTCTCACGCACGCTGCGCCTGGGCTGGGATCACTAGTAGGTCCCGCTAGCGTAGGGTAGCCAGAAGCTCTCCCACACACTCACCGGACCTGGGCTAGGACTGGACTGGGGATTCCTGGAACACGGTAGAAATTCCTACTTGGAGGGCAGGGTTGGGGAGGTGCTGTGGAGTGTTTGGGGGCATCCCAAGGGGTTGGAAGAGGGTCTCACCCAGGCTGTGCCTGGGCTTGGACCAGTAGTAGGTCCTGCTGGCGCAGGGTAGCCGGAAGCTCTCCCACACACTCACTGGACCTGGGCTAAGACTCCAGAATATATTTATTGAGAGAAAGAAAGCTCCTGTCCCGAGAGAGGGACAGGAGGTGGGTACCATGTGGGTAATTTCCCCCAATCCCCATTTTCTTGAGGAAACGTGACTGAGGATGTTAGCCAAATTGCTTCACTGCACAAAGCCATATGAAGTACAGTGCAAATGTTTGACAAGCCCAAAATTCCTTTTGGGGGTATAAAGGGGGCACACCACAGCTCACATCACATGAGCCATGTCAAGAAACTCAAGTGTGTCACAAGATGATGCTTTTAGAGCAAACAACTTTCAGGATATAGATATGCACTGTGAATAGGAATGACTAGACTCTAATTGCAAAGCTCTTCCCTGCCTACCTTCTTATGTCTTCTCGAATCTTTGCCATTACTCTTGGGGAAGCCCGTAGATATCTAATTGTGCAAAGGGTTCCTTGTTTTCCCAAGCTGCTGTTCTACCATACCCTGTACATGAAAGGTGAAGTACAGCGGGACTCCAACAGTGTTGCCCATGTTTCATCATGACAAAAATATGGACCTCAGGATCCCAAATAGCATGTACAATCTTACAGAGCTTTGGCCATGACCTCGTACCCACCCCATCTTTGAGATAGGAGCTTTCCTGAATATATTTGTACCCAATAACTTATCAGAGAAATTATTAAGACTCAGCTTACTTCCCTGTGCCTGTGACTGATTTATTTCTAGCAGGATTTATTTTTGTGAGCTCAGCATTTAGGACCATCATTCAGTTAAAAAAAAAAAAAATACAACAAAAATCACAAAATGCTCATTTGTACATGCAGAAAAAAAAATGTGTACATTAGGGTCTGTCACTGAGAACTTTAAGAAAGCCAATCTGAAATAAGGAACTGGTATATTTTACCATGAGCGAAGCTGTCAATATACTACAGAAAGGCAGAGGTAAAATACTTCATGTTATCAACTATGTAAGAAATTTTTACAGGACAGAGCCATACCTGAGCATCCGAATGTGCTTCGAACTGTGCAGTCCCACCTGTGGCCTGGTTGAAGGTGTACATGAGGCGGATGTCTTCCTCATGTAGCTCGTGTCCTTCTACCACAATGCTCCCTGTGGGAGAAAGTGACTCCATTATTTCTCCAGAGGGGTCTACTCTGAACTGTGCCCTTCTGATGAAAATTTCCTAGCAGCAGAGCTGCAGAAACTGTAAGACATCATCTCTGTTACTGCTGAATACAAGGAGCTGAAAAACTCAGATTATATCATGCTGCTTGACAACAGTTAAGCCATCACCAGTGTCTCCCATTTTATACAAATTCTTAGTTGAAAGTCACGCCAAAGCTGAGTGGAGCACTGAGAGCAAATGAGTCCTCATTTAAACATGGCACAGAAAAAATGAATACTCAACTTTTAGGGTAAGACTGGCTCTGGTTCACCACTTGCTGGTTGTTGTGACCCTGCTGGTCTATTACATACCTGCAGGTATGGGTAAAATGTGACAGTGGGCAGAAATGGGCATCATGAACATTAGGCAGGCAGAAGAGGGTGTCAATGGCTGGAGAGGGCAGTTTACACCTTGAGGCAAACCCAGTGTCACTTGTGACTTCTCATGATTAAGCAAGAGGCCATCATTTTTACGTCAGGTTCCTACGGTTAGAAAATTTGCTTTCTAGCAATAATTCAATGTCCATTCAGAAACTACAGTTTAGAAATAGGAGGCTTTCACTTTCAAGTAAGACTTACTGCAGGGAGTTTAGATATATGGTTTCCTGATCAAAAAAACCTAGCTTTATAAAATGATGGATGACCAAACATCTACCTAATTCAACATTCTGAGCTGAGCTGCTGATAGGTGACTCAAGTTTTAGCTGCTAAACTTTATGTTCTCTTAATTCTATATAAAAATCTGGAGAATCTTAGGGATATCTTTTCTAATTTCTATAACCAGTCATCTGATTCCTGCATTCTTCCACTTCTCTGCTCATGCCACCTCCATCTTAGGATTTTCAACTCTGGAGGGAGCCCTAGTAATCAACAACTTGTGTCCTAGAATAATCACAGGATGTCAAATATTAGTTTAGTCATGACAGAGCTGCAAAGTCCAGGGTACTCCAAAACTTAAAAAAAAATTAACCTTTTACTTATTTGGTATAGGGTCTTGCTGCACAGCTTGGACTCAATAGTGATCCTCTTGTCTCAGTCTCCCCAGTGCTGGGATTACAGGCGTGTGCCACTGAACCTGGTTTCAATGGGCAGCATAACATGTGGTACTGGGGATCGAACCTGGGTCCTTGAGCTTGCCAGGCAGGCACTTAGGCCACCGAGCTATCTCCCTAGCCCCTGAAACACTCTTTAAAGGGGTGGGAGGAAGGAGATGAGGTTTCTTTCATAACCTAGTAAGTTGGGTTAGGTCCCCTGTTACAGGTTCTCATTTACCATACTCTTTTCCTCCCTACCACTCATCAAAAACCCTAAGTATTTCCATGAATTCTCAAATGTCAGCAGCATGAGAATAATGACAAAATCTGTCTTATACAAGTGTATATTGATTGAGCTTTTAAGAATATAAAAAGTATTTGATGGAATGAATTCAGCTTTGTTTATATGAGACACAAGATATAGGTCATACCGCGGTTCAATCCCCCAGCACCACATGCCAGCCAGCCCCGCCCCCT